ACTTACCGGTCCCTCTTTGACAATCAGTTACTGCGAAAACCCAATAAAGTACACACGTTATAAATTATTAGCCACCGATTCACTAGAGGCAAATATTATCAAAACTGCACAATCCCTCTTACTCGCTATTTGCGAACAAAGGCAGCTCGAGATATCCTACTGTCGGGCTTCTCCATGGAGCCATGGACAGGCCAGCAGGGCTGCAGTTCTTACATTTACCACTTAGTTATTGCACTACACCCAGCCCCGCTGAGGCCCTTTATAGCTCAAACATCTCAAGACACGTGTGCCTGCCATTTTGCTTGTGAAATCCTACACAAGACGGAGCTTTTGATAAACGTTTCACTTCAATTTATATTCAAGACAATGACGTATTAATGTGACTGCATCTAAATATTCTGTAAAAATAGGAGACATTTGCACCATCAGGCAATGGAGGACTGCGGCAGGGAAAACCCGAGATATTCCCCCGAGGAAAAGACGTTGCGATTTTGGGAGTGGTGACGGTATGAGTGTGCAAGAAAAAAATCACCCTGTAGAGTAGGTGGATACAAAATATCAGTTAAGGAGCGCAGTTATTGGCAGTGGAGAACAGAGTGTGAAGCCTGGACTTGAGCAAGCAGTGCTGACAATGTGGGAGAGGCTACTCCATACAGTAGGGGGGGCAGCAGAGGAGAAATGACTTCCTATTGAGCACAGGATGACCCGGTGGTCTGACAATGCTTTGGCGAGCGTCACAATGATGCGAGTTGGGCATGGGTTACTTCAGCCGGGCAACCATAATCCAGTACTCTTGTAGGCATGGGTTTATGAAACTCTCCAACCCGCCGGGATGTGAGGTGCCCAGAAGATGCTAATAAATAAAATGGGTTTGTGAGCCAATGTGGACCTATGTAAGTGTTATACCCGCATCCGGTTCCCTTCCACATAAAAACCCTAAATCGAATTGGCCAAGCATTCAAATTTTTGACAGTCCGTGAGACTTCCATGGACAAATAAAACGCATTATTATTAAAACGCACAAATCTCACTCAAACCACTGAAGATATAAAAATATGTACCCAATGGCATAAAAATCAATGACAGTCGAAAACAATCACGCCCTACCTATTTGCGCTGCAATTTAGACATTCACATGTGGCGCTTTTGGTCTATCATTGACAAATCCACCAAGGATGCACAACGCTACAGAGGTAACTTAAAGCTGCAACCCACAGATACGTACATTGGTTGTGACAAATATGGGCTGTCCAACAAGACTGCGACAACCAACATGCCTGCACTGTTGTAATTAAATGTATGGGAGTGGCATTGCACGATGTTACTAGGGCGCAACAATGACGCACTAGATGCTAATTTGAAAGTCCTTTGTCTCATTAACCAAATAAAAAAATGGTGTCCAACAGTTCGGTACAGAGAGTCTAGGTTTGTATCAACAAAATAACCGATATTCGTTTTTTCAGTTGTGTCTTCATAGCAAAAAGTCCAAGGCGCGAGGATAAAATAATACGACTCGTCTAAAATTAAGACCCATTGCGTTATATATACCCGTCCATGTGCACGGTTTCAAGTAACGGCCCCACTGACCGGGCACGACAGCTGGGTCCGGTGTCGGGTGTCAAGAGCTGGAGAAGCAGTCTCCTTGCCCAGCCCGGGCACCCTGCATCTGTCGGCCTCCACACGGCTCAAGTTGGCTTCTTATTCCAATAAGAGGGAGAAGTGGGTTTAAGGCTATGGTTAAGCCAAGGTTTAAAACGAGAGGCCGGGAATGAGTCGTGATCTTGGGTTAGGTTTTCTGGTTGTCGTGTAAAAAGAACCGGTCCCTGTTAAGGAACTGTGGAATTTGCACCATTGACTCCAGGCCATCAACACAGACGAGCACTGTCCAGGTCTTGGGTTTGTAAACACGAAGTTTGAGGGCGCATGAGCCAAAGAACACAGGCAGGAAACAAGAATTCAGAGAGCACATTTTAGAGCTTCGTTATGACTTGGGTTGCTGGATAGCCGAGTAATTAGGGAACTCACTGAGATAATTTGTATGTAGCATACTATTCAATCATATCGTAGTTTTAATGTTACATATTAAATCATCTCCTTTGTTGTAAAAAAATATATACTTTGTTGAGAAATACATCACTCATATTAGAGGGTTATAATCAAAGTAACAAAACTACAATACTCTAGCAACAAAAGTGCAAAGCAAGGATATAAATGTTACAACTTGCAATCTCCATGTTTCAATACATCTTCGTTGAGGTCAATTCGATTTTTGAAGCCAATCGTTTTCTGCATACAGAACCTCCGGTGATTGTGACTGAGTTACATAAATTATGCTGTTAAAGTGCGATGCTGTTGTAATTTGGCACAAATGTAAACCTCACGACTATAAAAACAAATCATTAGCCCCCCAAAAATTACAACTCAGACGTGAATGTGATGCTAAAGTTCTAAATAGATTCAACTCTCATGCTAAACACTTAAACATATGACTTCCACCTTCAGAATCAATTTTCCTACCATGCAGTAATGAATCTAAGGTTACGAGTACAGACTCTAAAGCAGTATCAACAATACTATATTTCAAATCAATGAATCATTGCATTCCAAATGAATGAAAGCTTCCATGTAACTTGCAAAGATCATCAATATCAGGTATCGATCCACAAAAGGATCAAGCTTCAACATCACTGGACAGCGAGTTGAGTCAGGACTAAATGACAAGCACAATCCGATAAACAAAAACATAACTAGTCAGACTGACATAAACCATTAGGGTTGGCTCTATTTGTTGGAGGGAGCTCAGATGGCAATGCCTGCCCGAAAGCAACAATCTCTGTCAAATGGGTAATACTCATAAACATCGGAATAATCTCAACTTTGATAAAGCACCTTCCGTTTGACAAGACAATCTCAGTGGTCAACCACACAGATGAATCAAGAGTAAGCTGGAAAGAGTATCTCTTTCCAGCAATGACATCAAGCATGGAGTGAAAGGACTAAAAAGGAAGAGACAATTCGACAAAACAGACACAAATTGGGAATGACAGACAGGCACACACATTTAAACCTTACGCTTCACAATGTGGCAGACACAGGAAAACACTAAAGATAAACAGAATTTCAAGATAGAGACAACGACATATTTACCATACAATGCCAGAAAAGACAGGTATACAAAAATAGACAATGAGAGACAGACAACACCAGAGAGAAAAAGGCAGGATTATATGGCATAACAAAGACAAAAACAAAGGGTCATAGAGTGAGACTAGAGGCAAGACAAGGCTACACAAACAAGGTCATACAGATAAGGAGACAAGCCAGAGAGATGGAAAGGAGTACATGGAGATATACATATTTATGCAAACAAAGCCATGAGTGGCAGAGTCACAAGAGCGAGAGTACCATAGAGATAATAGCAAATACACCAAGGCATAAACAACCATAGGCCACCAAAGTGATAGATGGAAATTAGATAGGACCAGTCACAGACCAAGAAAACACGTAATTTAGACAGATGGGCGAAATAGACGGGTACCATATAGCAACAGACAGATTTGATCACAGGCAGAGCAGAAGGATAGAGGAAAAGAAAGATGATGCCAGAGACACAGAGAGGGCCTTACAGACAGGACCACATTAACATAATTTGGCCATGTGATTGTATCACAATGAACGAACCCAACCTGAAGATATCTTATAAAGCCACGTACGTTTCACCCTGGTTAATTGCGTGATAATAGGAGACGCTGTAGAATTAGGCTGTAAGGTGTCTACAACATGGCAGCACAGCAACCGATTTCTGAATCCATCTGTTCGGAGTTGAGTGTTAGTGTATATAGAGTATCATTCGTTTACTTTCTGTGTACACCAGCCTCATCCCAAAATGCCAAACATTTATGAATGGAATTGGTCAAACATCCCAATGTTGGAGCCTGCTGAAAGCATTCAGACTCTTGAGGACTAGACTGAATAAGTGGAATGTATTGTAGACAGGCTCGGACAGAGAGACTGGGATGTACAAGAACCAACTGGCTCGTACAGAGACAGACCAGATCATACGCGCTCAAGGGTGACACGAGGCCACAGAGATCCAGACATGGCGTTACATGAACACACACACAGTCTGTTTCCATAAGAAAACATCTCTGTTTAAGAGGAAATGTATGCAGCTATGTGGATTGCTTTTCATACGGAATTGGTTTCTTTAATGGCAACCACTAGTGTCATGTGACTGTGATTTACGGAAGGTGGCATAGCTGTTGCCGACTATAATTGTCTAATCGATGTCACTTTTAAAATGTTTCTACATCCAAAAGTATTTTACTGAACATGGGAAAGGACGTAGATATTTTGCCACGTTCGCGGGATACACATTCACGCACCGTGGAGACAGACAGGATCGTAGAAACACAGGAGCCACACACAGAGATGGCCCCGCGCTGCATTCACGGATACGGCCACACAAAAACAGACGCGGCCGAACACCGATCACCACGCACACACAGACGTGACCGCACAATTACAGGGGTTTCCAGACGAAAGCACATGGACAACGGCAAAAGCCACACGGACACTGGTAAATGAACAACTTTGAGAGACGGGGAACCCAGGAAGGAGCCGCGCCCGGCGGAGCCGAGAGCCGTGGCCGCCCTCACTGTACCCCGTACAGTGCGGCTCCGCGGCGCCTCCAGACAAAAGGCGAGGGGGGCTGCGGGGAGCCCCTTGGCGCCGTCTCGCACGCGGGAGACGACTCCCGGCGAGGGGGAGACGCAGCCACGAGGGGACCCCTCGCAAATCTCCGCTTCGCTCTTCGCTCTTTAAAAATAAAATAATCGGCGCCGCCATCGCCATTTTGACTCCAAAATGGCGGAGAGGGGAGACGCTTCCCTCCTCATCCTCCTCCTCCCAGCACGGAGCCACAACATCAACACCATCGGCTGGTGGCGATGTTGAGGACATCCATCACCACTAGGCACCACCAAACCCCCCCTCGTTACCTGCAGCTCCGCGCGTTCCATATCCCAGCTCGCCCGTTCCATCTCGAAGCGAGCCCATTCGTGCTGAATGTAGTGCAGGATGCCCGGCATCGAGTAGTGAGGCCGGCCGGACTCGCTGCCCCCCTCGCCGCCCTGCTGCTGCTGCTGATGCATCTGGAGTTGCTGTTGCAGTAGCTGCTGCTGCTGCTGTTGCTGCTGCTGTTGTTGTTGTTGTTGCCCGGATCCCCCTGACGGCTGCTGCTGGAGCTGCTTGAGGCCGGGCGAGCCAACCTGCAAGGCTGGGTGCTCGTCCATACCGACCGCGGTGGTTGTCCGAGATGCTGCTGCTTTTATTCTTCCTGCTGATGTTGTTCCTCCTCCTGCTGCTGCTGCTGCTGCTGTTGGTGTCGGTGTCGGCTGCGGACGGGCGAGGCTATGCGACGAGCAGCAGCGGCACGAGCCGGGTCGCCGCCGCTGCCATCGCCCCCGCGCACAATGGCGAGCCCTGCCCGCCCCGCCGCGTCCCTGCCCCGCTCCCCTTCTCCTCTTCCCAGTCCCCCTCTCCTCCTCCCGCTGCTCCTCGCTCTCAAAGCGGCATCTACACCGCGAGCGACTGGGAAACAAGACGCCTTCAGAGTCGTCTAGGGCGAAGGCTGCGAGTGACGGGCGGCGGAGGAGGCGGTTCCGTGGCCGCTGCAGGAGAAAGAGGCGGGAGACGGGGCCGCTCCTCGGAGCGGGCGACTCCACCCGCCGAACCTCACGGGGGAGGGGGGACAGATAGCGCCACCCACTGACCGCTTTCCCTCCAACCCTACGGCACTCGCTCCGCGGGTCCTCTCAAGTGTTGCTCGAGTCAGCCACCCCCCTAAACTCCCCCGCCTCGTACGGCGCATTTGGTACAGCCCAATAACGGACGTCATCGAAGCGAGTTTGCATTTCATGGAGCAGATAAGACAGAACTACGTCACGTGGGTGCGGAGGCGACGAGCCCCGTTCCCATATACACTGGGGAATGCAAAACCAGTTGAGATGACGTCACTCAGTCCCCGGTGACTTGAGCTCCGCCCACTGGGCTGAGTGGGCGTGGCTCGGTGCGCACCACGTGGCCTCGCGAGCCGTCACGCCGACCCACGTGTAAATTGGTGGCATTTGGTTGATGGCAGTCGCCTTTCATTTTAGCTGTTTGGGAAATAATTTCGACACGCCTCATCCATCTCGCCTTATTTTGTCCTTGTACCCTTTATATAAAAAATATTTGGAGTAGAAGGCACAATAATATAGGATTATTATGAATAGGCATAGCTTGTGCTCTCGTGATCATGCCTTATGCGAATAATCCCTGCCCCGTGCCACCTTGCAGTGCTCTGGTCAATCTAGAATCAGAATATTATACTGTTTAACACGGAGGCTTTCGCGACCAATATTACCCACGAAGGTTTTTGTGTGGGTTAGATCGCGTAAATATAAATGTGTCAAAGCTGCCATCACCCGACACCCAATTAGTAAGGTTTGTCACGTAAACTAAACGTGCCCATTAGTTACTAGCTCAGCACACCGGTGTGTTGGAGAGTAAACACGGTACGTTGGAGAGGAAATTGTAAATGTTTCACGATAGGTCACAAAAGGCAATCAACGAGGTCCCAATGGCGAGTGGGGGGGGGGGGGTCTCTGTTTCTCACCGTGTCTCATGTTTCTCTACCCATTACTCCATCTCCTCGTGGCTCTGCCATCCGTGTGTGTGTGCATAGGTGTGTGTGTGTACAGGGTAGAAGAGCGACGCTCACAGCAACGAGCCAGACGGCTAAAATACAGCACTTTGCCCAACCACATATGCGACTGCAATTCAACGAACTGTGATGTACCCATTTATACTGCTGAGTGGACAGAGATGGGAGATGTAAGATACTTGCACCTTGTCGAACTGCCGTGCCAGGATATGGAACCAACAATCTCTGGATTGCAAGTTCAGTTGTGCTTTTATATCATGGCAGCATCTTTAATGTTGAGGAAAAATAAAATACTGTACAGTATATGTATCTTGTTTAAAGTGATACCTTATGATACAAATATACAAGCAATGTCTTCCTGTTCAAGTTTGAAATGAAGAGGTGCTTATCTCCATTTATAGTCAATGAAGCAGAGTAGAAATCAAAACTTGAGTACAATGTATTTATACAGCTAATACGAGTGAATATTCTGATAACACCAATTTCGAATGGTTATCACATAATGTACTGGAACCATAAATGTAATGTCACTTCAGGTGGTACCGACAAGTAGAATATTTGGTCTGGGCTCATGGACTATTATCACTGTTGGCTGATGGCTGAAATTCCACATTCCAAATACAAAGTCCAGAGTGACCCAGTGCTGAATTTACACAAAGTGGTATGAATTTTTTGACCTCGGTTTGTCAGCTCAGCCCTTTGTCAAGAAGAGTGACTTAGAAGGAGCACCGTCCAGTGTTGGGGAAGACAGACTCAAGAACACATTCCATCAAATCTTGACATCGTCTCCTTTTTCCAGGGCTGTTCCCTGAAGTGGCCTTATATTCCACGAGGTGAAGCAATTCTAAAAGATTGTTTATCCACATCATGTCAAAATGGCTATTTAATAATTTGGATACAATTATTTGGGGGATGAAATCTTTGGAAAAAATTATAGTACTGTGCATGACAAATAATTCCAAGAAATTACGTTGGATAAAACATCGTATAAATCATGAACAGCATGCTACCATTAGTTAGAAACAAAGTCCAGTAACTAATCGCTCTGACTATAATAGAACTTTATTACACAACTGTAAGGAGCTCACGAGCGGTGCGACACAACCGGAATGGGCCCACCTCTGTCCCATTGTAAAGCGTCGCATTTAACGTGACGCTGGTTACTAATCTCACTGACACTGAACTGTCGTTGTCCCCGGAGCAGTGCCGAGTGCACGCTTTAAGGTGTAAACTAAATACGTGTCCTCACACCCGACTTGCAAAGGCCTTCGAGATAAAAGTGTCTGCCACAGCCACAGTGCCCGGGGATAGGCATAACCTTCAGAGAGGTCTTCATTGTTTCTCACACTACACCAACAAAACACACAACTCTATGTGTACCGCACACAACGTTACCACCTCTCCTGTGTTTTCCCCCAAGTCATTTAAGGTTCCAGTTTTTATCAATAGCACCATAATCCACGGCTGAAAACTTCGCATTTGCAAGTAGTTCTCCCCTCTTCAGGTATTGTGAGGTAATCGTCTTACACTGGCATATCCCCATTTATTCTACCTAAAATGTCAACCCTAACCACACACGATGGCCATTGTTTGTTTTCTTTTTACAGCCTCCCAGTACAGAATACCGCCCTACATCTCTGTTATCAATCCACTGTCGAATGAGGGCTTCCCCACGCTGTGCGGATCAGGAGGGTTATTTGACCATATTTGACCATATTTGACCACGCTGCTTCATGCGGGTTAGTGAAGGTGGGGAGTATAGACGTGGGAGCATAGCGGTACACAACAACTATTTATTTTTCTGCACTGCCCTCTGCCGACAACCACACAGCACAGCCCCGCAACCAGTACGTGTATACATAACTTGTTAAAACTAAAATCTAAGCAATGCTCCATTCTCCACATGTAAGTAAACTATGCTTTAGTTCACCGTCCTGTGGGCTTTAAATACCAATATTATCCAGCAGCATTTGTTTATGTAAGCAAACTCTGAACCAGTTTCTACCTTCTGGGTCTCATCAGCAGTCAGGCTGGTTTGACAAAATTGAACCTTATGGCGGGACCCCGGGGTCCCGAATAAACGGAAGTCAAAATCGTACTTATTGAATTTATGTTTAGCGACTCCGTCCCACCGCGCACATAAACGTCGCGACCCGCCTGGTGCGTATCATTTTGTTGTCGTGTCGTCCAAGCGCAGCAAGGACGAATACGCAGAAGAAACAAAACTTTGATTAGCGCATCGTGTAGAGCTCGTCGAGAGGAATAGATTGCCGTACCGTTCGCCTTTAACAGATATAAAATGACGTCGCAACGCAGTTTATGTCCCGCCATTGGGGGTCATACTACTGCTGGATTGCCGTATTTTGTTGGTGGGTCAACTTTCTCAACCATCAGTTAGGTGGCGTTCCATTGGTCCTGAGCCCATAGTGCAAATGTAACTTCCCTGCTGTGTAAACAATCGATGTTGACTTCCCACAAAGAGGTACTTAAGTTCTAGATTTGAAGCTTTCGTGACTGCAAGGATTCATATTCTTAGGTTTTTTCGGTAAAGTCACGTAGGTAAAAATTTAAAATTAACTTTTATTAATTTTAATTTTTTACCTACGTGACTTTACCGAAAAAACCCAAGTATAGGTACTTAAGTTATTGACCCCACAGCAATGACCGGGATCTTGAACTTGCAACCTTGTGAGACGGGTGCTATACCAACACGAAGACGAGTATGAGAACGTGATTGGTGAAAGAATGAGTGGGAAAGTGGCAGAACATTTTAAAGTGTTCAGGAGACTGCAGAGGTGTTGGTTGTGTGTATGTTGAACTTATTTCACACCGTACGTAGCCAACCGTGCTAATCGGAGGTGCAGAGTGAAATGGTGAGAAATTGGGAATGAAAGTGAGAGGAAGGGAGAGTGGATTTGTAACAGGAAGGAGTGTGGGTCAAGTGAAAGGGCTCCCTGTATTGGGTGAGTGCAATCAGTGATTAAAGTGAGTAGGGGTGCAGGATAACTTGCCCCCCTAAGCAAGGGAAATGCTTCTGTTCCCCATCAAGTGGTCTGCTTATTGAAAATGTTTAGCTATTTAAGTGATATAAATTTGACAGAAGCATAACTTTACTTTGTACATGGAGGCTTGACAGTGTATATTGGTCGATGAATGTGTCGACTGCCCATACCTGCCCTCCCATCCTTGCCCCCCTTTGCATAAAATTCCCCCTGTTACGTCTGCTTTAACCACTAGCTAGAATGCATATACATTAAATAGTACGAGCCAGTGGACAAGCTCCATAGAGTGTCCCAAGTCCCAGTCCTCGCAATCCACCATGGCACGCCTTTACACATTTATCAAACTTTTCCATACAAAGAACACATTAAAATGTTCCATGTCACACACCGCTCAGTTCTTTGGTAAACACGTCCCACGGAGAACGATGATTCAATATTAATTTTAATGAACCCTCTATTACATTGAGAACAAGTACACACACGAGACCAATTACTTAATTTGAATCAATATTCTCTTCTTCACGTTGAACTTATTTCGCACCGTACATAGCCTACCGTGCTCATCGGAAGTGCGGGGTAAGGACAACAAACCCAACAAGCATGTTCACGTGGAACATGCTTACAACTTGAAGCCGTTATGTCGAAGGTCCTGGACTTTAACTTATGCTATTTTCAAAGCTGACCTGCTATAAAGTTGCTGTTTGTGAAAGCATATGTTAAAGAAACATACAAGCACTTAAACTAAAAATAGCTGCTGATGTTGTGCGTGGGTTACTGAAGTGATGTGTGGGTAATCATCCAGTTATATGTGCATGTGATCCTTGGGGATCTGGATGTTATTACTTTTTTCTATATTTGAGGCAGACAGTATATCATGTTGGCAAGTATGTCTTTGTGGAAGCAAAAAAAACTGTATTTAAATTAAAAATTGTAGGAAGCATTGCTTTCATCGTTGAACTTAATTTAGATGCTAGTTCATGGCTCAGTGTAAATG